GAAGATCGATCACGCTCGATCATACAATTCAATAACCGATAAACCAATCTTTAAGATTTCTATAGACACGTGATCTCAGACTGATGAACGTATGTTAATTATTCAAATGACGTTTATAGTAATTCTTCGTAAGACAGTTAGCAGAGTCGAATGAAGTCTCGGTTTATTGGTGACTTCGTTTTCGAGGGAACTGAGGGTGAAAAATCTTTCACGAGTGCACGTGCACTTGGCTGACTGTGAGATCAATAATGCACTCTAGGTATATTGAAAATCTTGATATAATGAATACCGAAAGTCCGGGAGTCATCGTATCGTCATCACTGTCACACTCTGTAGAATTTAATATGCGATAATTAACGCGACTAGTGAAGGATGATTGATACCAGATATAAAATTCAGTGGATTCCTTCTAACTTTTAGATTTCGAAGATCGGACCTTTCAGCTTTTAAACACTACATTTTTTAATGAAAGGAAAAAACGATTTCTCAAAATTATACGTCCGAGTTCGCGGAAGATCAAGATCCTTTTTAACTCAAACACGGTATCGACTATCAATTAAGAAGCAAGCAATGACACTTCATTTATTAATTATAGCACGGTTGATACATTCGGGCAGGTGGATAATTAAAAGAAAGAAGTGGCACTGTCGTCAAAACACACAGAGAATGAACTACATAAGAGATCAATACGCCGAGCTGACAACTACGATGCTTAACCCATTAAGTGCCTACCTGACTATTTATAGTTAAAGGTACATTTTATATTTTCGAAGATGATAGATATCGCGTATTCTCATCCAACGACGACGTGTTATTATTAGAAATAGTCGGAACCTAGGTCTTCTAGTAATTCTCCAAGTGTGATCGCGATAGATTCCGATGCTCTAGAGATAACATCAATGATAAACCCTCCTCGAAACATAGTTACACACTTTGATAATCGATAGACCGCGGATTTTTATAAAAAATCAATTTTTCATCGCATAAAACAATTCCTTGCTACACAGATCGCGAAGGATAATTCAGTTTAATGTCAGATCAAAGAATTCGTGCATTCTTTAAAGTTAAATGGGCATTTAACGCTTTTTGATTGAGATCACAGACTCGTCGAGTGACGTCACAGAATCTTTTGACGTAAATGCTTCACTGCCGATGATCGAAGAGAAGCTGACAACACTTCGGTCACTTGAGACGAGTTCGATTTTTTAAACGTTCTACCTCCCCCCCACTCGTTCTTGAGTGAGTCAAATATAGATCTAAAAATTCGATAATACACGATGATCTTGATCCGATAATCTTCTTTTTGTTATCCTGGCTCCTTAACTTAGTACGAAAAAAGTTAAGAATCGAACCCTAGTAAAGATAAAAAGGGGAACAGCTCCTGTCTTTTACAAATATTTTCATTCGAAGAAGAATTTGTGCATCAGTCTTGCGTTAATAAAATGAAAATTAGTAAACTATCAGTTCAGAGTCGATATTAGCACCGCAAGTGAACTTTCAACCTTTCCACCACGTCACATTATCAGTCGCCTTTGTGGTCGGAATTGTTCGTTCGCGATCGCGAACACGATGACGAGGAAACGAATCGTATTCAAAGTGGTACGATAAGCAGGACATATTTTGCATGTGGAAATACCGCAGACATCATCTCCGCGTCGGGGGAGGCTCGTGGTAACGAACCATCGAGAGCAGCTTCTTTTTTACCCTCGACAATCAGGTCATTGGGCCTGCAACACCACTGGGAATAGGAGAATGCCGTGGAACCACTCGAACCGCTCCTTCAGCAATCCGTTTCTCGACTCTTTCCTTTCTAACGGCAGCCAACCGCAGTGTCGACGTCAGTAATACAAAAAATGACGTCACCAGACGCATCCAAATATATTTCTTCGCTCCATACGAAATGTCCAATTTTCTCCAGGTCTAAGCTCTTCGATTATCGTGCAATTGAAGGTACTAGCGTTTTCATGCGGACTCTAAATTATACTTTTAGTCATCAGATTATATTTTTTAAAATAGCAAATGCATATTTTTCGAAAGCAATAGCAAATGATGAATTCGATCAATCATATACGTTGAAAGATTGTAAAAAAATTAAATCACCTATGAATAAATTAATAATTCTTTATTTTTCCTGATGATTTTGTTTTTTGGAGGAGCCTTCATCTCCGCATACAGCGTCTGTCTGCGTGAATGTGTTGCCATATCACATCCAGCACTCGACAATTAGAAAGGCATTGTGGAAACGCGCTTTTCAGAAAGACTGGTCGATACGTAGTGCGACTTAGAATCAGTAAAGGGAAAAGGAATTCGTTCTTATCATTCTCAAGGTAATGCCACGAGGTCAAGGTAAAAGAAAATACATTCACCCTGACCAAGTATTAGGTACTTATCAATTCCGCGGAACCGTACCAAAGTACGATTGTTTGTGATAAGTAAAAGATTTGTTGTAACTCGTTGTGAAGCGTGTAATTGTGAAAATCAGAGGTTTTATCTGTGTACGTCATCGAGAAATATAGATCAAGATTCTACGTGTATTTTAAAGATGTTCGAGAGAATTTTTGTTACTAATTGTGTGGCGGTACTAATGAGAACGGTCACGGCTCATCCCTCACGTGTCACGTAAAAGAGAAGTGTCATTTCAAGATAGAAAATTGATCCTGATTATCTTCGACCACTTCTCCGTTAATGAAATTTTTCGTTGTAGTTCGTAGTCGAAATAATTACATGCAGTAGTAGTCTAATTAAAAGTTAAGGCATATAATCCAGGCAGCTAATTTCCATTGATTACTTCATTCATTATTTCAGTTTATTCGTAAAAAAATTACTATCTCGCGATCGTACGAGCATTTAAAACTTTTTTCATAGGAGTATCTATAAAAGACAATGGACGCGGCTAGAGTAACGATCTAGTTCTTAAAAAGGTAAACGTAAAGCTATGACTTTAAGATAAGGATGACAAAGGACCACCGTTAATAATGCAAAGTTTCTGGAAATTATCGATAAGGATCGGGGACACCTTTGACGCCGAAGTCTATAGCAGAAGTGCATTTTTAATAGAGAACAGAGTTGGGTACGTTGCCGGTATGCTACTTTGTCCCTTCAAGCTCCGACGTCTAGGTCAATTGTTCAATTCTACTGTAATCAATTTAGCAATTAAGTTCTTGTCTCTTTCTCGAGGTGATGATTCGAGTCCCCGAATAATTTTTGTCAGTCCAATCATTGGTAACATCGTTACAGAAACATATTCTACAAGCGGCGAGAGGGAGCACCCTCTTATCCCATGCTGTCTCTTGTCCCGTATCTTTGGACCACGTACTTACGTACTCTCGCGAGGAGATGTTCTTCGTTCTTGCACGTATGATTTCGGCGAGACGAGTGTGCCGGTACGCGCGCGGGCGCGTTCTCCCGCGTATATATGTGTATACCTTCTCGAAGAGCGAGCGGCCACTTGACGATATACGAGCGGCGCGAACACGTAGCATTCTATTCGCGGCACAATTTTCGAGGATCGATATATCGAGCGGCGTGTCCCGTCGGTCGACGACGATGTCTTCAAATAGCACGGTAGTTAACGTCTCTGAGAGTCACCCTCAAGAAGGGTGGGCCGGGTGCAAGAGGAGAGACTGCAGGATCCTTTCCAACGTCCCGCCTCCCGAATCCACTGCTTTCTCTTCCTCGTCATCGGTGACGTTCTTCCACTGCGCTCTCTACCCTTTCTCCCTGTCTTCATTATCGTTTTGCGTTTATCTTCCTCCTTGGCTACTTATTTTTATGATTTCGCGACACCTGATTTCGGGGATCTGGAAGACGATCTTTGAATCTTGTTCAAGTACGTGCAATGTGTCATCCAAAGTGAACATACTTTATATCGAATGATGCATAGTATTCATATTATTCATTAAGAAAACTCTATGATACTTTATTTAATAGTGAACACGCATTAATCGTCAGCCAGAAATTGTAATAAACCTAAACACGTTCTCAAAGCGTTTCATTAATTGCGCTACATCTCTTTCTCTTAGCTCAGTGAAGAGATCTCGTTTGAGTATTCGACTTGAGATTGTACTGCTGTTTCTTCGTGGTTCGTAGTTGTAACTTCATACATCAAAGTAAACTAGAATGTACGATTGCACTTTGGTATTCTTTTCCTCACCGCAACTCGTTACGCGCATCTCCTTGGAGGGTTGTAATAAATACGTTTTCATTCCACGGTTACGCTACTAATGAATCTCTGTCGACGAGAAGAATTAGGTTTTTAAACGAAATACTGACGTCTTGTGAATAGTTAATTTCTACCGCTTGACATTTAAAAAAAAATTTACAGTCGCATGTGTTATTCTCAAATCTCGTAATTAATACACCTCCATTCGAAATGAGCTCGAAAGACAAGCAAGATCCCGTCGCCGTGTCGGGGTTGCGTGGTACCGGCGTATGCAAATGACGAATAGGCGAGTTCTACTCGTGCGTGCGTTATTCTTCTCCTCGAGCATTCGTCGTCGCAATTAGCGCGCAACGACACGACAGAGAGCGAAGCGCGTTCTCTGGCGAGTCGCGCGATTACAGCATCCGGCGCGGCACGGTAGAAACGAAGGATGCCCACAACACATTGGACGTGCCGCATTGGGGTAAATTCGTGTCGTTGGAACCGTCTCTTCACGGACCCACCGGGGATTACCACCACTTCTTTCCCCACGCCGCCGGTCCTCTCGCGGCGGTACCTACTCACCGTTCTCTATCCCGACTCTCTCCCAAACCCCGTTGTCTTCGCTTGTCTGTATACATCACCGAGCAACGCGTGTGTGCGCGAGAGAAAGAGAGAGTTACCCCTTCTTTCCCTTTCTTCTTTCCCTCTGTATCGAGTTAAGAGGAAGAAGCGGTTGGAGCGAGGGGGTTGTACATCGGTGTGTGCACCCTGCTGGCTCCCGTGGTCCACCACCTTCGCCGCCACCACCACCGCTACCAACGACGAGCGATCCACCTCCACCTCTGCCTCTCTACCAGCGAGGATGAAGATTCTGCAGCTTCGGCAAAGTCGTTTGAAGAAGTCAGTCGACGGTCGCACGTCCTCGCGATTCGGGGAACGACGAACAGAGGGGAACGAGAAAGGAGAGAGAGACGAAAGGGCCGCAGCCAAGCCGATAGAGTCCTGTCTTCCACAATAGGGCTTCGATTCTTTCCGTTTGTTCACTTCGCCTTCTTGCCGTTCTCCGTTCTCGCCCTTCGTTCCGCTCGACCTGCCGATTCGGTTTTTTTTTCGATTATCCGTTCCCTTCACTTCTATTACGGGGAAGATGCGCTGAGGAGCGATCGGCGAAGGATGTCGGTGGACGAGGCGCATGGGGGCGGCATGGTTTCCGCAATCCTTTCCTCGGTCGTGCTTCTTCTCCTGTTCGGACGCACCGTGGACGCCCAGTAAGATTCGTACCGGTTACCAATTTTCCTTTTCCTCTTCTATTCTCCCGTGTTTTAAGTGCGCCGGCCATCTTAAGGAAATTAACGTTACCGCAGTTTTCATCCTTAGAGTTATAGTCTTGATCTTCCGAAAAATCTCAATATCACTAAGACATCTATTAATAACTTCTCCATTCACTAGAAATTATTGATGAAGTATATTCATTGCAAATTAGTTTTTAACTAGTAACGCGTATGATATTTCTGGTAGTTTCATAAATACCACTAGTACTAGTAGAAAGTTGTTTTTCTAAGATAAATGACAGTATAAAGTTTGTTTAAAGATCTAGAGTCCTGCTTGACGGTAAAAATATACATTCTTCTGAAAGTAGTATAAAAGGAGAAGTGCAAAATATTTCAATTCGAACATGTCCTGACTTCTCAGTATCTCAAATTACAGAAGTGGAGGATTCGAATCAGAATCAAAATCTCCATAAATCGCGAGGAAGAAAGTGGTAGAAACATGGAGCGTTCGTAGTGTCAAAGTGTTTAAGAAGTCCTGAAAGTGCAGTGTATGATGTGCAAAATAATAATTTATAATTAAATTATTGCAATTATGTGATCAGTATAATATATCATCTAAGTGTTTCGTGTATTTTGTGATGTAATAAATGTAACTATGAAATTAATGGACTGTTGGTACGTTCCAAAAGCTTTTGATGATCTTCGATTGTGATCCTGTGCTTCGACAGTGAAACACGTTGTGAAATACAACTTTTATTACGAAGAGAACTGAGAATCTAAGAAACGACGAAATGCTTTATGAAATAAATTTATTGCTAATAATAAGATGCTAACTGGTTTGGTTTTTTTACTGTTCTACTAGAGACTGTTAATGCGAACCGATTTTGTTAATAAATAATCGTGAATGTTAATATGGATATGTGTATTTATGCGAAAAGTGCTTGCGTTTTACTGAAGCTGCGATTCGAAATTTTAGGAGGAGCTTAGAGTTCTTCGATCTTCTACCGGAGGACCCTAAACTGTACGATAAAATGCGACCGCCGAAGAAAGACGGACAGGCGACCGTCGTTTATTTCCACGTCACTGTCATGGGTCTCGATTCCATTGACGAGACCTCAATGGTACTTACTTTGCAGAATTACATTCTTTACGATTTACGAATAACAGTTTGAAAGACCTACTCTAAATATAAATAGCAGTTTTATCGTTTCGTCGAATCACTTTTTCAGACCTATGCAGCTGACATATTTTTTGCCCAAACTTGGAAAGATAACAGGCTACGACTACCAGAAAATATGACATCCGAATATAGGTAAAATTAATCATGACGCGTAAAAAAAATATAAAGATTATCTTCTGAAAAATTCGTAGAAAAATTGTTATTCCTCAAATGCGTTTAACGAAGTCCGTCAATTACATTATTTAAGATTACTGGAGGTCGACTGGCTGAAGAACATGTGGCGGCCGGATTCGTTCTTCAAGAACGCGAAATCGGTGACCTTTCAGACGATGACCATACCGAATCATTACTTATGGTTGTACAAAGATAAAACTATTTTATACATGGTCAAGTAAGAAACAGTGAATACGCTGAAGTAATTAGATATAGTTTTTCTATCTATTTGCTGACAGATATAATTGTTAACGTTATGTCCTGCATGTTTAATATCGTAGTTAGTTTTTCGAAGGGATCATCATTCGAAAATATTGCAGATTAACATTGAAATTGTCATGTGCCATGAACTTCCTGATCTACCCTCACGATACGCAGGAATGCAAATTACAAATGGAAAGTCGTGAGTACATTATCTAACGCTTGATCAAATGAAACAGAGTATTAGTAGAACCATTCACGTTTCATTTTCTCAATACCTCACTATCATATCCCAATTCTCGACTAAAGCACCGAAAATCTGTTCACTGAGAATAACGCGTAACCGTTGTTTTTAAAAGACATTATCCTACGATATCTGTCGTATGAAAAGGAATCGAACACTCGTGTCTCATTCTCGAAACATTACCGTAGATCCGCATGAATATTCCTTTAGTTTAGCGGTCTGAATGCCGAGCGATTTCACAAGGACAAAACAACTCGGTCAACAGTGTCGCACACGACGGATGAAATGATCTTCCAGTGGGATCCTGACGTGCCACTCGTCGTCGACGAGAACATCGAGCTGCCGCAACTGCAACTGGTTAAGAATTACACAGCCGATTGCACGCAAGTCTATTCCACAGGTAAACGACGCATGTCGCGTTAAATCGACGCTTCGTCCCTGAATAAGATGAATACATCTTTTCTTCTTCCTAATTAACTATTAAAAGAGTCGGCGCGAAACGCGAACGAAGAATCGGTCCCAAACGGAAACTGAATTGGCTTCCTGCGAAATTGTGCTGATGTATTTCTGCATTCGCTCGAACGAAACAATTACGCGCACTTATGTTTGTAATTGCTAATCGTTTGACATATTCGTATTCATCGGTCGTGATAGCATTCATATTCATAAAGTATAGATATATCATTGAAATTCTTGATTTTCAATCTTGTCGATGTTTAGGCAATTTTACTTGCCTGGAAGTGGTGTTCGTCCTGAAACGTAGACTTGGCTACTACTTGTTTCACACTTATGTTCCTACCTGTCTGATCGTTATCATGTCGGTGAGTTTTATATACTACGAAAGCATGAACGATTTATTTCATTTTTTTTGCACATTTATATTGAAATGAAATTGTTCGCGTCGCTTATTATTAGTGGGTCTCGTTCTGGATCAAACCTGAAGCTGCCCCAGCTAGAGTGACGTTGGGCGTGACTTCCCTGCTGACTCTTTCGACGCAGCACGCGAAGAGTCAAGCGTCTTTGCCACCCGTATCGTACTTAAAAGCCGTGGACGCGTTCATGTCCGTGTGCACGATCTTCGTGTTCATGGCGTTGATGGAGTATTGCCTCGTGAACATCGTCCTCGGCGACTCGGACGCGCCACCGAAACCCGCGCCTCCGCCCGCGCCGCCGTCCTCCAGCGGCACCGATTCCGCGAAGCTCGACAAGATCTTCGACATCGCCCCTAAGGTAACGCCTGGATGAAGATTTTCTTAAACGATTCAGACAGCTTCTGCGCCTTGGAAAATGGAGGGTGAAAGCATTCAACCCCATGGAACGTGTTCAGAAACTAAGTAGTTGTTGACGTCGGCGGGAATACATTCGTAAACGTGTATTACACGTTCTTCAGTATAAATGATAAAGAATTTATAAATTGCGAATCGTATCGCGAGTTCAGGAATCGATGGACGGCATTATCGACCACGCGTTCATCTCTCCGCGTGTCCAAGGCACAGAAGCTTTGTCTGCACAGCGGCGGTTCAAGTTGTGATCGTTGTCACGCAGGAGAACGCAATGTTGTTATCCGGCCGATCGCAGAAGCCGACACCAGGTCCACCGCCAGGACCCACTCCGGCCCAAAAGGCTCGAATGCGCGCCTTGAACATCGATCGAGTCTCCCGGGTCTTCTTCCCATTTCTATTCGCCCTACTAAACGTGACTTATTGGATAATGTTTGCCGAATACATTTAAGCTATCGCGGAAATCGATTTTTTCGTCGAGGAGATTACAAAGGAAACCGAAGAGGAGATGCCTGCTGCGATTGAGAAGAGACACTTTGATCCGTGAAAGTGTTTCCGGGGGCCGAAAGTTGATTCACGAGTTTCCGTTGACAATATTGTATTCTCCGGGCTGATGTTTCATCTAAAACACTTTAGCTCATTGATCTAAACTACACGAAGCGCATACTTCGATTATGAATAAATAATAATACTTTCGAATCTGAAATCCAGCTAATGGAGAATAAATAAAAAGAAGCAAGAAAAATGCGTGTTAAATCATGATTGTGAATCAAAGATTCCACGTTCTTATTTAAGTATCGAAATCGAATCGTTTGGTGGTCCCTTTAATAAAGATTGCTATGTGTTCGATTAAATACCGAACGTCGAACTATTCGAGAATCTATCAATTAAATTAATTAGTAGTAAACACGCGTTGTTAAAAGATCGTCACGAGTAATACTCTGCTCGCAGTTTTACGATCAATGAACTTCACTTGCGCAATTTTAGAGTTAAAATGTTTCGATATCGGACACCTGTTCCAATTAAGCTTGATCGGCTCTAATTCGACGGCTTTTCAAGTAACACCGTGAGTGCAAACGGAACGCACTTGTACAGCAAACTAGTTGAAATAGAATACTCGTTTCGTTTTAGAGAATTAGTACAAACATCATAAATCCGGCCGAACTATCGTCGCACTTCTGTATACACGAACATGCTACGCCTATTTTCTTCTTTTAGCCTCTCGTGTAAAGGGGTGCCTCATCCAATTTAAACTTCAAATAAATTTCAAATAGTATGAATGCAATAACGTACACGACCGTATGAATTCCACTCGTTACATCCATTGGTTTGTCCGCATTCTTTGAAACTAGCAGAAAAGTGTTCCACGTGTCGTGTGCCACTTCTTTTATAAAAATCAATCTCACGCGTTCCCAAGGTTCGCCGAAATGCATTTTCCCTTCTTTCATCTGCCGTTGAAACGCGGTCACCTCGAAAAGGTAAAACTCGCGAACGGGCACTCTGACTTTACGCGTATGCTTAAGGGAAAACAATGCACGATGTTACTCACGTTCTGATCAATTGAAGAAATAAAAAATTTGTCGTTCAAACTGACAAAATAGAAGGGAATATGTACGTACATAATTTGAATTAGATGCTCGGCGACAAACGAATCCGCAATTGTATATCAATTTTCTCTCTTACGTCGTATGTATGTATGTATATGTATGTATGTATTTATGTACCATACTTCAAGTACGAGAAATGGTTACGCTTGAAACTGAAAATATTTCTTTCTCTCTTTTTCTTTTAATTGGCAGTTACTAATTACAAGTGAGTGCAATTAGTATTGGATTAAAAATATGGATTAATTTATGAAATCCAATTACTGGTAGATGTTTGGAATATGTATTTTCTTGATCCATGTGTATTTAATTATTTCAGTCCGCGTAATATTTTTTCGCAATTCCGCGCTATCGATGACATTATTGCGTCTCTTAAAATACGATTGCTTCCGCATTACAAGTGAAATGAAAGTTTAGTCGAAATTCAAAGAAATTCATTATAGACGATAGATATTTAATTAATCTATACATATTACGCTACCGTTAATTGCTAGCTTTTTGAATGCTATAAAAAATACGAAAATTAAAAAGGCAACACCCAACTATAAATACGTACTTGTAACTATCGAATTCAAAGCAACGTTGAGAAAAGAAAATGATAAAATTTATTAGTAACTAAATATGTAAACGATTGCATTATAATGTCACGTTTCTTTTAGAGCGAAATCATTCTCAAGCACATTGTACATTACATTGTATTTAATATAAGAATAACGTCGTCTATACAGATTAAATTGATAATAAGAATTATATCACCTCTCTTTTATTTTAACTTTAATTCAGGACCTGATACAACGAGGAGTCGAAATTCGACTTTTAAAGACTTGTTCTTTATGTATTCGGAATTTTATGCTCAGAGCCAGAGCCGGTGTGACCATTTCTCTTTTAATTTTTTTTGGACTAACGTAATGTATTAATAGACTTTTGCAAAATAATGTTTATTACCAATTCTATAACGCAATGTGTTCTACCGACGGTTTATTGCTTTCTTCTATTTAGGTATTTGTACCGTGAACAGTATACTAATTTTAATATCATTGTGTGTAGGTAAAAGAAAGATTTTATTCTTACATTAAAACAAAGCTTGCTTCTTATAAT